CTACCAGTAATATAAATACTGTACTAAGTACTGCTGCTAGTGTATTACTGCCTGTACTGCTTTGACCTTCAGTGGATAGTGTAACTGATGGATTACTAGTTGAACTATCAGTAACTGATGTACTACTGATGGTTGATACTATAGGAGGAGGAGGACTAGCTATACCATCACTGATTGATGGAGTAGAACTAGTGACAGGAAGAGTTGGATGGAGAGTGTTTGATAATTGAGAGTGTGTGTTTGTGAATTGTGGTGTATTGTTTATTGAAGTTGGTGTCATTAGTGTGGGGGAACTGGTCATCAAGGATGATGATGATGATGACGTAGACCACAACAAGGTAGTGGATGGTATGTTCATATTAGTAGTAGTTGTTGCTATTGTAGTATTTGGAGTGTGAGAGTTTGTTATTTGTGTACGGATAGTATCAGTAGTAGTAGTAGTAGAGGAAGTTCCTGGTATTGATGGATTTGGCCCTATAAGAAACAACAAAGCCAATTATTAGTTACTATTGAATTACAATACATAACTTACCTACTACAACTGATATCAGTGGATAGTCATTATATTCCAATGGTATTAATCCATTACTGCTATCAAGCTCATAATTCAATGGTCCATTGTATTGTTGATAATACATTGGATTACTATTAGTGGTTACATTGATTACTAATATATCTCCATACTCTACTTCAATATCACTTGTAAAGTTATATACATTACCATTTCTTGATGTAGCAGCAGAAGCATCAACAGTTAGTGCACAAATCAGTTCAGAAGAACGTTTTAAATAAATGTTAGGATAATGTTTGCTTGTAGTCTGATTCTGTGTAATACCAATTATCCAGTTAGTAATAATACCATTACATGTGAACTGTATATCAGGAAAAGCTCTTGTATCATTGACTGGTATTACATTAGTAACTGATAAACTGTTTGTATTAGATGAGCTTTGGTTAACTGGAGGGTAGTTACAATCGCTACCTATAAATACATTAAAAGGATAAATGCATGTCATTGGTGACATACTTGTAATTGGACGTATTAGGATACTTGAGGTTTGTAAATCTATTTCACCATTAGCAGGATCTTTTCTAACAACATTATCATTATTATCAGCTACTCTTCCAATTTGACCAGTTCCAGTTACTTTATAAAATCTAACAACACTTCTATCATCAGGAGGTTGATATACTCCTAGTCTGTAACCTCTGGTACTACTTGTTGTCTCCCCAAAGTTCAAAGGAGTAGGTAGTGTAACATGATACAGTCCATTGGTAGTGAAATTGTGTGGGGATAGTCTAAGTTGAACAGATACTGGGTCTCTATAAAAACCTCCTGTTACCCTCCATATCTCTATTCTAGGATACTCAGTCCTATTACCAGTTTCAGTTCTGATGTCAACTCCTACTAATACTTCAGTTAGTGAACTCATGCAATCCTCACTGAACATCCTATCAGTGATGATCCATCTTGTTTCTACTGATTCTGCTAGTCCTGCAGTAGTTGGTCCATTGTTGTTAGTACTGCCAGTTTTAGCCTCCAGTAAACTTAGTTCCATAAATCCTTCAGTACTACAATCATTAGACTGTACTGTACCATTTAACAATAACAACAATAGAGAAAGGAGAAAGAGGCACATCTTGACTGTTAAAGAAACACAACTGCAATGATGACTTTCCCTATTAACATCATAACTGCCACACCTTTAAGTACTGGTAACTCTTCAATAGCTATTGCATGCATCAGTGGGGCATTGATATTTACAAATAAACCAACCCTAGTTATTATAGACACATAAGAAAGGATTGTTTCACAATAATAATCATTAGCTGTAGAACTGATGCCTTATCTAGCAAATATGCATAATCAGATAAATTAAAGAATTAATTCTGCAGCAAAAACACAACAATTATTTTATACAGAAACAGAAAACAAACCATTAAACACAATGTACAGGTATATAAACTGGCAACACGATCAATCAGTTCTTGTACATGTACTGTAAGTCAGTGTAGAGGGAGTGGCTTGTTTCTAAAGCTCCACCCAGTACAGTAACAGGATCCTCTTTATTAATCATTAGTAATTGTTTATCAGGTGAGGATAGACTTGATGATATATCTGAGAAACTTGGACGATTATGAGTATCAGGATTCCTATACAATACAATGATGACATCACTATTACATATCTAATTGTGTGTGGGTGTGCATGAAAGCATGATGTGGTTGTGTATGATTATAATAATCCACTCAGTTCACATTATTAGGATGTACACTCACTGCACTGTCTATAGTGCATTGGTATATAATGTCATTATGAATATTAGTAATTTGACACAAAAGGTCAATATTTGTGCTAGTCTTACAATAGCTAGTGTACATTTCCCATTATGCAGTATAGCACTAATAATAAATACATACCAGCATTGCATCATTAGTTTATACATTGGTTTAGGACATCCTGGAGGAGGTGGTAATCTATAGCCTGAATCAACCAGTCTAATGCACTAAAATTAGTAAAATTAAATTAAATTTAAAAAGTATAATATTAATGTTATACTTCTTGATTAGTAGAGTTTTCAAATGGTTTATGTCCTANAGACCAAATCTCATACATTACAGCTCCATAACTCCACACATCACTAGCACTCGAATATTTCTTATAATGTAATGCCTATACATACACAATTCAATATTCTAATTATATAGTTTCTAATTACTTCTGGTGCTGTCCATTTTATTGGAATCTTTTTTGCTTGTGAAATATAATAAGATTCATCTTGTAGGTCCCTTGACATACCAAAGTCAGCAATCTGAGACCATACTATATAAAGTCCAATTGTTAGTACTAATCTTCTACCTTGCATATTCCTGTTCCTTCATCTGATACTAATATGTTTCTTGCTGCAAGATCTCTGTGAACAAACTTCTTCCTTGACAAGTACTCCATTCCTGAAGCAATTTGACGACAAAATGAGAGCAAAATAGAAGGAACTGATGATAATACTAACTCCCCAGGACTAAGAGAAGAGAGAGACAAGAGATATTAGTCCAACTATTGATATAAACTTACGATGGTTTAAATTTGTTAAGATACTCTTTCAAGTCACCTCCAGATATCAATTCCAGTACTATCATTATCTATGCACAACATTTAATAATTATTAAAGAGTACAATCATTAGTAATACTACAGACTCACAGGATGTCCAATGGTGACCACTCCATGTAGTTTAACAACATTAGGATGATGAAACTGACCCATAATGGCTGCCTCTTGTAGAAACTTTACTCTCTCATCCTCTGAAGTATTATCATTAAGTGTTTTAATAGCAACAGAGACTGATCCAGCAGTAGGTGTAGTCCATAGTCCTTTATTAACTGTACCAAACTGTCCTGATCCTAAATAATCTGTTACTCTATTGGAGTGAGAATGTGTACATATTCATGAAGCCATACATGTTACTGTTGACATTGGTACAGCTATTATGAGCTATATCTTATGTCATTATGAATTCTCCCTCTCTTTATGATCACACACACACACTCCCTCTCTCTTACTTTATTTGGTGTCTTATAATTTCTCTGTATTTCCTATCAGATAATTGTTGGTATATACCATCAGTATTACTATCAGGTTCCCAGTACTCAGTATCTTCTATAAAAAATCCATTACCACCAGTATGATCAAGTCTTGAATATGCAGAGGAATACTAAAAATAAAATAATGTAATCTTCTGTATATATCATTTGTATATAAACTATATCATACTTATGTATTTTGTACCTGCTCATTCATCAATGTGAAGTAAATGTCTTGTTGCTGTTTTCCTCCACCCAAGCGTTCATTCTAAATTTCATTAGCACATTAAAGTATTATTATTCATGATTACAATTAACATACTGCTGTAGGAACATAGAGTGCTTCTGCCAATAAATTGTAAGTTTCATTTTCAATTTGATTAATAGTCTAAAAACATATTGATAAACAAACTGATTTAGTGACAGCATGACATACAACATTAATTATGCATTCATTATTATTGGGTTTAATGTTTATTATTATCATTATTCTACTTTATGTTGTCTTTTCATAGTTATTGTTGGTTCTTCATAAAGCGCTGGCATTGGACTTACACCTGTATAAGGAATATAATAACATTTATATAAATATATTTATGCTAACTTATGACTATACCTGTAGCAGCTGCATAACGATCATTAGTAACTATTGTATCACTATACACTGATTCTATTCCATTCATTACTGGCTTCGCCTCTTCATATAGAACTGGACCCATATCTATAACAAAATGATGTAGTAATAGTGTTATAATGTAGTATGTAATGATTGCTGTTATTGATATCACTAGTGAATCTATAGTAATAGTAGAAGCTACAATGCATTGTAATTTAATACCTTGTGGTTGGTAGGTAGGATTAGTCATATTATTCAGTTCTGTCTCTTTCTCAGTTGATCGTGTATTCATTAGAGAATTACCTCTTGATGATAGCTTTTGGTGTCGTCTTTTATACACTAATACACTCACTATTAATATTACTAGTATAGTAACTACCAGTAATATAAATACTGTACTAAGTACTGCTGCTAGTGTATTACTGCCAGTACTGCTTTGACCTTCAGTGGATAGTGTAACTGATGGATTACTGGTTGAACTATCAGTAACTGATGTACTACTGATGGTTGATACTATAGGAGGAGGAGGACTAGCTATACCATCACTGATTGATGGAGTAGTGACAGGAAGAGTTGAAGAGAGAGTGTTTGATGATTGAGAGTGTGTGTTTGTGATATGAAGTGTATTGTTTATTGATTGAGTTTGTGTGAGGGAACTGGTCATCAAGGATGATGATGATGTAGACTGCAACAAGGTAGTAGGTGGTATGTTCATATTAGTAGTAGTTGTTGTTATTGTAGTAGCATTTGGAGTGTGAGAGTTTGTTATTTGTGTACGGATAATATCAGTAGTAATGATAGTAGTAGTAGAGGGAGTTCCTGGTATTGACGGACTTGGCCCTATAGGGAACAACAAAGTCAATTATTAGTTACTACTCAATGACAATACATATCTTACCTACTACAACTGATATCAGTGGATAGTCATTATGATCCAATGGTATTAATCTATTACTGCTATCAAGCTCATAATTCAATGGTCCATTGTATTGTTGATAATACATTGGATTACTATTAGTGGTTACATTGATTACTAATATATCTCCATACTCTACTCCAATATCACTTGTAAAGTTATATACATTATCATTACTTGATGTAGCAGCAGAAGCATTAACAGTTAGTGCATGAATCAGTTCAGAAGAACGGTTTAAATAAATGTTAGGATAATGTTTGCTTGTATCCTGATTCTGTGTAATACCAATTATCCATTTAGTAATAATACCATTACATGTGAACTGTATATCAGGAAAAGCTCTTGTATCATTGACTGGTATTACATTAGTAACTGATAGACTGTTTGTATTAAATGAACTGCTAATTGATGGATAACTACAACTGTTACCTATTAATACATTAAATATGATAAAATCATTTCATTAATGACATACTTGTGATTGGGTGTATCAGGATACTTGAGTTTTGCAATATTATTTCATCATCTTTGGGATCTTTTTTAACATCATTATTATTAATATCTTCTACTCTTCCAATTTGACCAGTACCAGTTACTTTATAAAATCTAACAACACTTCTATCATCAGGAGGTTGATATACTCCTAGTCTGTACCCTCTGGTACCACCTGTTGTCTCCTCAAAGTTCAAAGGAGCAGGTAGTCTAACATGATACAGTCCATTGGTAGTGAAACTGTGTGGAGATAATCTAAGTTCAACAGATACTGGGTCTTTATAATGACCTCTTGTTTCCCTCCATATCTCTATTCTAGGATATTCAGTCCTGTCACCAGTTACAGTTCTAATGTCAACTCCAACTAATACTTCAGTCAGTGAACTAATGCAATCCTCACTGAACTGCTTATCTCTTTCAGTGATGATCCATCTTGTTTTTTCTGATTCTGCTAGTCCTGCAGTAGTTTGTCCATTGTTGTTAGTACTGCCAGTTTTAGCCACCAGTAAACCTAGTTCCATAAATCCTTCAGTACTACAATCATTAGACTGTACTGTACCATTTAACAATAACAACAATAAAGAAAGGAGAAAGAGAGAAGGACACATCTTGACTGATTCTGTTTGCTTCCGATGTAGCAATTTCATTTCAGCCACACCTTTGAATTGCAAGAACTATTGCTCATTAAAATTCATAGTCACAGACCACGCCTCCTAGTTGCAATTTAATAAAATGGCGGGAGCAGGGCCAGCTGTAGTGAATGTTAAAGACTGGATCCATTGTAATCATTGCTATACTGAACCTCCTAAGGATAGAAGGAATACTCAGTTCATTATAACGTCGTGTGGTCATCTATTCTGTGGGAAATGTTATGGTATTAACATAGAATTTATGAACATTTTGGATTTAATTGTATTTTTAGGTGAAAGAGAGAAATTTTGTCTGGTGTGTAAGGCATCATGTAGTGTAGTTGATCTATCAAAACAAGTAAAATAAAATTATAATTATTAATTGACTGTTGTCTCTCTCTCTCCTTCTAAAGGTTCCACCAGATGTCATGATATATTTCCACACTCCTGAGTCCATTATACAGAGATTCATCTTCCAATTCGAACGAGTATGTACATGACTACATGTATGACCATATATGGTCAACTATTTAAACCACACCCAATCAATGCCACACCCACATGTATTTATTACATGCACTTTTATTAGGTATCTAAATTTCAAAGGGAGCAAAGGACTAGATTAGTAAAACACAAAATACAGAAAGTTAGTTATTAATTAACCATTATTTAATTAATTAACTATTTATTAACGATTATTAGTTGCAGGGTGTTGCTGAAAGGAAGGAGAGGGAGATATTGTTAAATGAAAAGTAACTTATTGTGTATAATTAATTAATGAATTACTTAATTAATTTATTTTATAGGGAAAATGCTAGACTTAGACAAATAAAATTGAATGTAAGTATTAACTAGAACACTACCTTTCTCTTTTCATTTTAACCTCTCTCTCTCTCTCTCTCTCTCTCTCTCTCTCTCTCTCTCTCTCTCTCTCTCTCTCTCTCTCTCTCTTTCCCTTCCTCCATTAGTTGGAATCAAGATCTGTTTCCTTTCCTCCTTCATCATCAAACTCTACTACCTTACGTCCTCCTCCTTCAATACTAAGAACTGGGTATGGTCCCATACAGACCCCGCCCAGTTTTACGAGGCCACACCCATCAATGACCCTACCACCATCACGTGGTGTTCCTCCATCACTAGCAGATAGACCAGTGGGCGGAGTCAATACATTAACAACCTTTCCAATGAGAGGAACCAACACACCAGTAAGGACACGTTGTAATTAAGTTTCTCAAATATTGGTCCAAAGTCCCTGTACATTGTGTACTTTTAATGTAATTATGTAAGGAAATACATATCACCTTATACTGTAGAGTAGAATTTGTATTATGAGAGTAGGATTATCATTTGTATGGGTATAGTCAGTCATTTGGATCCTACTTGTCCTTGTTTCCATTACTTTTTTGACAAGTTGACACAGAGTGAATCCTACTCAATCTTTTTTTATTTTTGTAGTACAGTGTCTTGTGCCAAAATTTGCCAAAATAAAAAGAGAGAATTCTCCAATTATTATCGTTATTATTATTAATAGGTTACTGTTTCATCAGATACAAGATCATTTCAACCTCCTCCTCCTCCTCCTAAACCAACTGATCCCTTACTAACTGGAGGAAGGAGAGTCACTCCAAGAGAAAGTGGGCGTGTCACTTCTAGACCCCACCCACTCCAGTCATCAATAAGGCGGTCGGGTAGCTCTGGAGAGAGTACCCCCTACATATCACCCTCCATTGTATCCTCTGCTGTTGCTAGGAGACCAACTGTTGCCATGACGCCGGCCGTCAATGACTCAGCAGTTTTATCCTGCATTAGAGCAAGGGCTCAAGAAAGGGGTGGGGCTGTAGGTGGGGCCTCAAGAGGAGGAGGAGGTGAGAAGAGGAAACTTGAGACTGAATCAATGAGACCTCCCAGTGGAAAGGTATTATTATTTATTACATGTATATTGGATGTATAGTTGGCTTGTACATGTTCAGAGTTTTGGCGTTTTCTTAAAATGACCATAGCTTTAAAAATTGAAGTCAGAATTAGCTCAAACTTTCTACATAGCATAAGGACCTCAGTATGTATTAGAAATGTAATAAAAATTTGGGGTGATTTTGGAGTCATTTTTTGTAAAAAAAAACCATGGGCTATAGCCTTGGGTATTTTTCAGATCTTTGATGTTTTCTTAAAATGGCCGTAACTCAAAAAATTGAAGTCGGAATCAGCTAAAACTTTCTACACAGCATAAGGACATTGATATGTATCAGAAAATGTAATAAAAATTTGGGGTGATTTCGGAGCCGTTTTTTGAAAAAACCATGGGCTATATAGCCTTGGGTATTTTTCAGAATTTTGACGTTTTCTTAAAATGGCTGTAACTCGAAAAATTGAAGTCGGAATCAGCCCAAACTTTCTACACAGCATAAGGACATCAATATGTATTAGAAAATGTAATAAAAATTTGGGGTGATTTCGGAGCCGTTTTTTGAAAAAACCATGGGCTATAGCCTTGGGTATTTTTCAGAATTTTGACGTTTTCTTAAAATGGCTGTAACTCGAAAAATTGAAGTCGGAATCAGCCCAAACTTTCTACACAGCATAAGGGCATCAATATGTATTAGAAAATGTAATAAAAATTTGGGATGATTTCGGAGCCATTTTTTGGAAAAAAACCATGGGCTATAGCCTTGGGTATTTTTCAAAGTTTTAGTGTTTTCTTAAAATGGCCGTAACTCGAAAAAGTGAAGTTGGAATCAGCTCAAGCTTTCTACACAGCATAAGGGCATCAATATGTATTAGAAAATGTAATAAAAATTTGGGATGATTTCGGAGCCATTTTTGAAAAAAAACCATGGGCTATAGTACATGTGTTGTATGAGAGGCTGGTTCATGTGAGTGAGAGGATTATTTAATAATAAATTTTGATGATAATTGTATAATTTATTGATGGTATTGTTACTTTTAGAGAGTATTAAACTCATTGATTGCTCCTGGAAGACTGAGTATAAGGACACCACCCATTAATGGGAAGATGGGTAATTAAATTTATTATTATTATTATTATTATTATTATTATTATTATTATTATTATTATTATTATTATTATTTCAAGGTGTTATTCGTAGTTCAAGATTATTATCAAGTGCTTCTCCAAGACATGAAGAGTTAGTTCAGTTCATGTACATTTAAATGATACTGTAATCAGTAACAGTCCATTGTAAAGAAGAGTCACATTAATCACCATGTACTATATGCAGGATAATTTCTGTTATTTTTGTGCTCACTGAATTTAAACCACCACCTCTAATCCCATTCTATTGTACATGTATATAGACTATAACCACAATAGGGTACAGTGTATGGAGTGTTCATTATAATGTATCTCTGTCTGTCTATTTGTAGTGCTCCAATGTCAGTTGCTCCTACTTCTAATCAAACCACGATCAATGAAAGGTTAATAAACACCAGTATTGTTTATTTATTTATTTATTTATTTATTTGTTTATTTATTTGTTTGTTTATTATATTCCAGAAGGCTATCAGCTCCTTTATCATTAAGTGCTTTTCAATCACAACTAGCAAACAATGGAAGCTATTCACATCAGCGGTAACTATAACATAATGTACTGCATGTTCATGTAAACTTGAAGTACATGTACATATGTACATGTACTTCTACAATAGAGGGAGAGTTAATAGGTCAATTTGAGCTACAGTGAGACCTTTAATTTGATGATAGGAATGTCTTTTGAACTAAAACTACCTCAGAATATTATATTCTCTCTTTCTCTATAACTAAGCACTCATATAGTGTACTTTATTGTCTTAAAACTTTTGATGTACAAGTTAACTTTCCCCTCTCCCCCTCTCTCCCTCTTCAGTCCACCACTAGTAAAGATGTCTTCTCCCCGATATTCATTACACTCCAGTCCAATGATCAACTCCATTAGATTATAAATAATGAATAATGACAATAATAAATTACTATCAAACTATTGAACTGTTCTATTAATGAGCTGAGCTCTATTAACTAATATCATTGAACTAATCACTGACTTATTTCACAGAATATTAATTATCAATATCACTTAATTAATTGATTGGGCACGCCCATAAAGTTAATAAAGGTGCTAGTTATTAATGATAAAATGGCTCATTTTGATGAGAAACATGCCATTAGGGAGAGGACGTTATCATCCCGTAAATCACCGTGGCCTGTCGTGTACGTAGACCACACCTACATTTAATCATGGCGAGTTACTCCTGGCCTGCTCCATGTGTGGAAGTACTTACAGTTATAGCAAGAGTAGATAATAGAAGTGGTCTTTCTCGCCATAAGAATACCTGTATTGGAACTAAATCCTCTGAAATTAGCGATATTACGGCTGCTGCTAATGTTGGAAATATTAATTGTCACTTTACAGGATGTGATACCAGGTCAGTAGCTCATGGTAGTATAGTAATTATATGTACTCAGGGGCGTATCTAGGAATTTAAGAAGGGGGGTGCTGAGGGCGCGCGAAGCGCGCCGCGATTTTGGCCACACCCACTTTTACGGCGGTATAACGGCCTTTTCCTGCATTTTCGTCAATTACGGGTGGGGCCAAGATCATTTCAAGCATACTGCTATGTTACTGGTACTTCTGATTGCTCCTTAAAGCACTGGAAACTGCTGAAATCATGATCAGGGGGCTAGATAACTTTGTTAAGAGGCTTGGTAGTGATGCAAGAGTCCAGGACTTCAGTAATTTTTTCTGAGCCCAGCCCTGAGGGGGGTGCTCAAGCCCCCTCAGCCCCCCCCTAAATACGCCTCTGGTACTCTTGCTATTAGCTTAGCTATAGACTTATTGTGCTACATTACAGTATATAGTGTATATGCATGAATATTATATAGCATGTATGCATTGATATCTTTAATTATACATTCATGCAGGTTCGTATGTAGTGATGATTTGATAAAACATTTTTCAGATGTTCGTAATGAGAAAGTAAACATTGATAAAAAGATGTTTGCTACTATGGAGGAATTTACAACGTGGAAAGCAGACTTTGAAGCACGTACGTCCTCAAACTTTGTATTACATTGTGCTCCAAAGAAGCGTCTTCATTACCTATGTTACTACTATTATTGTAATTGTTCTGGCTCTTTCAATTCAAGAAGTAAAGGAAAGAGATCGTAAAG